AAATACGATTAATTGCACAGCCCTAATAGCAAGTGAACACAGCAGCAGCAGCATAGCGAGACAGAGGCAGGAAGACCTGGCAGCTTAAATAGAGCGGCATGTTTAGGAGAATGTGTTTGGTTGGTTGTAAGAGGGAAGAGGTGCGTCACGTGTTAATGTATCATTGGTGCTCGAGTTGACTGCCTGAACTAGCTCGCAGGCTTCGCCCCATTTATTTTTATGAAAATGCATTTATTATGGAAGTGGTTACGGATAGTTTATGAGACAATGGTCCCCTGGGCACAGATATGTAAAGGGCCCACCACCCTTATTATGAAAATAGCCAAAGATTCAAAGAGACAATTATTTGGTCTTTTTGTAGAGGTTTTGCATCTCTTCGGGGTCTTTCTGTTTGTGCTTTATTTTTGAATGTATTTATGTATTTCTTGTGTCTCTCCGGGTCATGTTGTGTCTTCTGGTGTTCATTTCGTGTCTCTTTGGGGTCATAATGATCTTTTTGAAGAGGTTTTTGCATCTCTTCGTGGTCTTTAGGTAGAGGCTTTTGGTTTATTCTTGCATCTCTTTATGGTCAATTTGTGTCTGTTTTCTCGTTGTGTCTCCTGATGTCAATTTGTTGTCTCTTTTGGGTCCTCCTGATCTTTTTGTGTCTCTTTTTGTTGGATTTGTACGTTTCACGTTTCCTTTGAATCTTTGTGAACCTGCCGTGTCTCTCGTGTCTCCTGATGTTATTTTGTGTCTCTTAAACTTTTACAAATCTTTTATGCACCTCTTCGTGGTCTTTTGGTGACTCTTATGGGTCATTAGGATCTTTTGGAAGAGGTTTTGCCTCGCGCGGGGCTCTTTTAAGTATCTGCTTATGCTTACATTTTGTTAATTTTGTTCGTTTTGAATCTATTTTTGCTTGCCTTTTATCTATTTGGGTTTCTTTTGAATATCTTTGTGAACTTCTTGTGTGTCTTGGTGGTTGTGTTGTGTCTCCTGATGTTACTTGTGTGTCTCTTTGTAGACATTTTTGAGTCTCTTTATGACTTTCCACAACAAGAAATGTTAGCAGTAACTTCAAACAAAGAAACACGGCCAGTGGGGAGTTATGTGTAAATCCATTTTATACGGCTAATTGTGAAATGTGCCTCTTTTAGCTCTATTGTTAGAAGTTATAGCATTCAGGCACTTATTTATAAACACTCACTGTAGACACTTCACTTTTACTCAATGAAGTTAATCAACACATCTGCTTATTGGGTTTGCTTATTTTATATTAACATTGACTGGTTATTAAATCCCCTCTCTGCAGGCGTACCAGTTATCCAGAGGACGAGTTTGGCCGATGATCATCATCCTCTGTCTCATCGCTGCCATCCTCTCTGCGTTTCTGGACAACGTGACGACCATGATGCTCTTCACTCCGGTCACCATCAGGTACAGTGAAGACATTTTACATTTGAATCCCTCTATATCTCCATCATACCTTCGATCAGTGCTTCTCAAAGCGCCCCCTAGTGGTCCATGAGTATATTGGTAAAATTTCACATTTGAAATAAATAAATACATTTAAGTTTTCCGTACTCTCGCGGGACTATCTCCGCAATGGAGCAAGCTTAAGTTTCACAATTGATTGCATGATATCGCCCAGATCAACACCTTCGTCACACATGTTGCCACCTGTTTGTACCATTTTCAGGCGATTTGTAATCTGTTCTAGACAAACGATGTGTTTTTGGATATTTGTGGAGTTGGTGGTCCGCAAGTGTTTTTTTATTGGTTAAGTGATCCTTGGTATGAAAAAGTTTGAGAAACACTGCCTTAGATTATATTATCAGGAAACAAAGATGAATTCAGATTACAGTTACATTTCTAAAATTGGTGGATAACTAGCAGGATTACAGTGTTAGTAAAACCTCTAAAGATCGTATAGTGTTTGTTGTAAAATAATCAGATGTTGTCTCTTCTCTGTGAGCTGTTCTGTTCTGTAGGATAATACTTTAAGTGTGAATCTACTATCGCCTCCTGCCTGAATCTGCTTTATGGTTTCACTTTCTTTGCTTCACTGTTTTTAATTCAGCTGGTGAATCTATATGTTCATAAAATAGTGTGTGTGAGCTTAACTGTGTGTATTCAACTAAAACCGATCATTTTCTGTCAGCCCTGATTTTATTTCTGCTTTTTTAAACTGTAGTGTTTGCTCATTGATATTTCTTTTCTCTTGTAATTATTTGCATTGCATGTCATATTGATGATATCCCAAAGAAACACAGGTTATATTACTTCTATATTGTGATACTCAGATTAGGTTACATTTCTAAAAAGTAACCCTGCTTTCATTTGAGTAATAGTCTGAATACATTAAAGCCCCAGAAAAACACACAAAAACAGAAGCTATAATTTCCTGTATGTACAAATGACCTGTTTGTGCGTCCCACCTCCTCTTTATCACTGCCTCTATTGTCAGCCACAGTGAACCTTTATTAAAATCTCAAAATTGCTTTAGCGGCCTGCAAAAAATAGACGATATTGAAGTTAAACTAGACCCCCGATACTAACGACACAGATGCAGTCTCTCAGGGTTGATATCCTGCATGTTAAAGAACCAGCGCTGATTATTCTAATATCCTTTTTTACATTTATTTTTGCTGTAATCTAATCGTGTCTAAAGGGCTTTTGTGTCTATATCTGATGGTGCAGGTTGTGCGAGGTGCTTAATCTGGACCCCAGACATGTCCTGATTGCAGAAATAATCTTCACCAACATTGGGGGGGCCGCCACAGCTGTCGGAGACCCGCCCAACGTCATCATCGTGTCCAATCAGGCGCTGCGGAGAGAGGTATGCACCGTCAAAACCTGTGATAATACACTGTGAGAGGAGAGTGTGTGATCTGACACCTGAAACATAATATTGTCTCTGACTTGTGAGTGAGGGATTAATAATGATAACGAGATGAAGAGAAAATCCCCTTTTTGAGATGTACAGATGACGCAGCTCTGACACGTCACCAGAAATGTTTTCAAGTCATTTTTATTCTAGGCTTTTTTTTTGCTTTGGCGTTAATCAATCATTCTAAAAGGTGGTGATTTGGGAATTGAGGGCAAATATAGAGGGTGTTTCTCAATGTCGAGTACGCTTGCTTGGTAGCACATGTCTTCCGAGCGTCTTGATTCAGAAGCTAGGCAAGAATACTTCCTGGCATTCGGAAAACGAAGAGTGGAACAGGCGAGCAAGTGTGCAGGTGTGCGTCATATGAGAGGCCCCGCCTTCCATTTTCCGCCACAGGCTGTTTCTCAATCGCGAGGATACTGGCTTCCAAGCCAATATTTCAAGGATACTACGTCATAGAGTGCCGCCGAAGGACTGTTCCAATCTTCAGCATACTTGGAATTCCACCGAGGCCGTGTCCTTGGTTTGGGGGTAATTTCGAGGCTGCACATGGGTAGACTTCGCATCCTTCAAATCCCCACAATGCTTTGCGCACGGACCAATTTCCCCAAATCT